GTGTCATCGAAATGTGTCGTCTAACAAAAGTGCTCGAAATTGTTTTATAATCGGTCGTGATTTATTTAAAACTGTTCAAGTTGGATGTGCAGTGTCTATTTTTTGCATTTTGGTGAGTGCCGATGGAATTTTTAATAAATTGTGTGGGTTTCAGTGTGGCCAGTGACGGGGTAGCGTCGGTCTGAGACGGCGATACAATTTTCGATAAAAATGCATAAAATCTTATTTAAAATTGGTAGGTGGTGGTTTGTGAAACATTGTTCAAGACTCGAAAGCCCTCATATAAACGAAATTTTGCCAAAAAACGCTTTATTTAATGGTACTTGTCAGGTGAGAAAAATTTCTCTGAAAAATCCACAGACGTGTTGATTTTAGTTGAGAACTGTCAGTCTGACGTTTTTTTCCGTCATCGAAATTTGTCGTCTACTAAAAAGTGTCGAAAATCCGGTTAGAATTGGTGGTGATTTATTTAAAAGTGATCAAGTTGGATGTGCAGAGTCTATTTTTTGTGTTTTTGTGAGTGCCGATGGAAATTTTTATAAATTGTGTGGGTCCAAGTGTGGCCAGCAACGGTTTGTGACGACGATACAATTTTCGAMAAAAATGCACACTATCCGATCTGTGGTGGTTTGTGAAATACTATTCAAGACTCGAAAGCCCCCATATAAACGAAATTTTGCCAAGAAATGTGTAATTTGAGGTAACCTGTCAGGCGAGAAAAATTTCTTTGAAAAAATCAAGTGGCGTTTGTTTTTGACAGTCACAAAAAAGTTTATTAGTAGAAAAATTGTGGAAATGCGATAATAATTGAGTGAAATAGTGGAGTGTGTAAAGTATTATTATTCATTAGTTAATTTGTTCGAGTGGCGGAAGTGTTTTTTCTGAATTTTAAGTCTCCGCCGAAAACCGCGGATTTTGGGCCCCCGAAAGATAGATAAGTATCTAAAATACAATTTATACTCACTTGCAAACACAAAAGAGCAAGATGGTAAGTCGTCAAGTGTCGTTTAGGACTTTAGAAGTCCCATATAACAGAAATTTACCAAAAAATTTCGTATTTGAGGTTATGATTATTGGCATTGAAGTAACAAACGTTGGATGGACCCAGTGAACTAACAAAATATAGATTTRCAGATTTGCAGAAAAATTGTGGAAAGACGAATAATGATAATAAAGTGTAGGTGACTCAAAAGTGAAAGTGAAGTTATTTTTTAAATTTTTTTCAAGTGCACAAATGATTTTAGCAATACCATACCATAGAGATAAAAAATTATTAATAGATTGCCAGCGAATCATTGACCTATCAAAAGATACATATGTCGAATACAATAAAAAAAATATAAATTAAACCTGATATTGTGAACTGTATTCGGGGCCGAAGCCCCCGCGAGCCCCATCGGGGGCGCAGCCCCCGTAAGCCCCATTCTGGGCCGCAATCTGATGTGACCTAAACATTATTTTACACGGTCTAAAAGACACTTTGCTAAATAAAAATAAAACTCTTAATCAAATCCAACAGAATTTGACCAGATGCGAAATGTATTTTCTTATTTTTTTTTCAAGTGGCGCGAGTGATTTTAGCAAAATGTGTTTTTTCTCTGAAACAGACAGACGATGAGAATTTGAAAGTTATAGAATGTAGGTGAATCAAAGGTGAAAAAGTGAGTGTATTTTTTTAATTTTCTCAAGTGACGCCAATGAAACGCGCGGTGCTGAGGCGAGCGGCGGCTACGCCGCCGCCGAGCGTCATCTTTCTCTGGAACATCCGTATGCTTCAATCGGGGACGCAGCCCCCGCAACCTCAATCGGGGGCATAGCCCCCGTAAGCCCCAATCCACCACATCAGCTAGTTATACCTTACTAAAACGTGGTAGCTTGATTGCTCTCACACCCGTGTAAAACGTTAATTTAACCATCTTTGTCATGCGATAGCAATTGTTTTTTCCTGGAAATAGTTGGAAGCACTAAAAGTGAAAATAAAAAACAAAAATTCAATCATAATTCTAAAAGTGGTAAAGTTTCATAGAGAAAAAAGGTCTAAAAGTGACTAAATTAACGTTTTAAAAAAATCACAAAGAGTGCGTTGGATTTCAATCATTCAATCTGACACTTCTGACAGTTTTTGACATTTCGCGACAATGTCGCTCACACTCTTCAAAAAATCAAACGAAATTTTTTTAGAGTCACATTAAGCTTTAATCTGCATTTTTTTAACCCACTAAGAAAAAAATTGACGAAAGAGTCCTTTATCTAACATTAAATTCATCATTTTTGCGTTTTTTCAAAGCAAATTCGAATTATATTAAAACAGTTTTTTATGGATAATCAGTGAGGTTTTTGCAAAATCTTGAATTTGATTGGTATGTGTCCATTTGTTAATTTAGATTACAAGAACCAATAATAATCATTTCCCATTCACGTAATTACCACTAAGGTGAGAACAAACCGGTTTTTATTTCTTATTGGCCAAAATCCGACAAAAACCTAGCAACGATAAGTAACTCCACCCATTAAAAAAATCCTGAATAATTATTGATTTTTGAGTCGAATTTTTATAACAAATCAGCGTTTAGTGTGAGTTACCTTACTTTAATTGGATCTAATTTTGCACAATGGGTGGAGCTAACTCCAGAGCCAATATGAATCATGCACTTTTA